TCGAACTCACGACCTTTAGGTTTAAAGGCAGGCGCTCTTACCACTGAGCCACAGAGGGGGTTAAAAATATTTTTAAAATAGGAATTATTTTCATACTTTTCTGCATACAGGCTTCGCCACTCAGAAAGAGTTTACTCTGATATTTGGAAATATTGATTGGATATTGGGAAAATGTTGAAACAGATCGATTTTTATTTCAAAGAGGTCATCTTTTACCGATATATACATGTGTTATTTATCAGCTCACTCCCTTTCAGTATCACAAACACTTACTTGTAGCATATAATAACACAGGTATTTCTCTGAAAAATTCAGGAATCCATGATTGTTTTCCACATTAACTCCATTCTTGTGAAAAAGTATCAGTTTATTGAAAGTGTTCATCAATGTCATCATGAAGCTACACCTCTTAAAGGGCCTCGACCTTCTTAAGCTTTCTGCGCTATTGTACTCTGTTCCTTGCCTGAATTTTCCAGCTGACAACACCGATCATCTCAGCTTGATTGCCTTCGGTTGAAATACCCTACAAATGCCATATATATTTGTTTATACCTGAAATATTTTCAAATATATGAAAAATATATGTAGATATGGAATTTTTCATATAACAATGATTGCCAAAACATCAGAATAGTTAGTAAATGAGGAATTTTTAAAATGCCAACTATTTGTCAAACTATGATATTAACAGTAAATACACTTAGTTTTAAGACTACTGCAACATACTAAAATATATAAGAGAACATTTTAATACAAAATTATGTATTCTAAATTTTAAACTTACCTCTTTTAGAGCATTAAGAGTAAAAACGACCCGCCATTATTGCTTGTTCAAAATAATCTATCTTATATGAAAGCTTATCTAGTCCAGGCTGTGAGGCCGCTCCCGTTGGGAAACTGTTTCTGATTCGGTTTCTTCGCTGATTCCGGTTCACAAATGTCCCCTTTAAACAAATCTGAAAGGTGCCGGGCGAAATTTTTGGGCAGAAATTGTTTAAACAATTTTTTTAAACAAAGTCCAAAAATATTTTTTTTAATCAAGAAAACATTTTTTTAGGTTTTTTGGGCCATTTTAAACAAAAAAAGTCTGTTGTCATTTTTCTCTAAAGTTGATAGTTTTCGAGTTATAAGCCATTTAAAGTCTGAAAAACGCGAAAATACGCATTTTTGAGGCTTGAAAACACATATGTAAATTATTATTTTTGAGGTTACCAAGTGTCTAAATTAAAGTTTAAACATTCAACTTCAAGATTGTGAAGAGTAATCGGGGCTTATCTTAATTTAGACCGTTTGTTTTTTAATTGTTAAGTATGCGCGTACACTCGATTTTTCACGCGTGCTAACCGTGCGCCTCTATCGTACTTATGCATAGTTTACATATACTTACAAATAATTATTATTTATTGAGTATATATTTATTTATATCAATTGAGTTATAATATAAATTTCGTCTAAAGTCTAATAATAGTTACATAAAATAATTGTATAAATGATTGTTAAATAACACAATAATATCACTCAGTAAAAGTATCTTTGTTTTCACAAAAATCTAAATCACATCCACATAATGGTACACAGTTGACATGATTTTTCTTGTAGTTGCAAGCATTAGTTTTGCAAGTCTTTTTGCATTTGCACGGTTTCCCAGCCCACCACTATCAGACATATAATATCCATATTGTATAAAATCGAGAGTTTGATAGCGGGAATATATGGCATTTCGCCAAATATATGTTTTAGCTTTTTAATTATGTAAAAAGTAAGAAGACTGCATACTTGGGGCACATTATACGAGGAGAACGATACACTTTTCAGCAACTGATACTCGAAGGGAAGATAGAGGGTAGGAGAGGTCTCGGACGTAAAAAAAGTCATGGCTGCGCAATATTCGACAATGGACAGGAATCCACAGCTATGAAATGCTTCGCTATGCTGCTAAAAATAGAATTATTTAATCCAGAATATTTAACATCTCACCTGACAAGACGATGTACGGTGGACGCCTACGCAGAAATGCACGGCACCTTAAGAAGAAGAGATGTTTTAGCGAAAGCTCTTAACAAGTGTTGGTAAAGTGCGTCAGAGGTACAAGGTATATTAGCTAGATTAAATTAAATTTTTCAGTCACACTGTCTTTTCGTCGAAGAGCAGCATTTTGTATTGTTATGTAAAAATCTACTTTAGATTTTTGCACTAACTTAATATTGTTGATGTTATTACAAAAAATACAAACTAAATTTTCTTCGGTAAGTTTTCATTTAAGAAGAGGTACGGAAAAAGACATTTTAAATCCATTTTTTTTAATGGGCATTAAACAATAGTCTTCCTAATGATCGTTTAAGTAATAACAAATCAAGTATGAGCGCGCGATTGTTAAACAGGTAAAAACTTGCATTTTTGCGATAGTATATTGTTTTTAAACACAGCGCAATTTAAAATTAAGTTTACTAATATTAATATTTACTGCATTGTATTATTTAAATAATAATTTAAAAATATTATTTACAATTGATATAAATAAATATATACTCAATAAATAATAATTATATTGTTCAAATTTGGAAGAAAAAAAAACTATATACGGTTATTACATTGCGATGATTGATTTATTTAATTAGCCCAATGACAATAATTAATACCTACATAAATAAATTATGGAAAAAACTATGTTAATAAACTTCAAGGATTTGTTCGGGTTTTTTTTGCGTAAGTGTATATGTAAACTATGCATAAGTACGATAGAAGCGCACTCTAGCGCGCCGCGCCGCGGCGGCTGAAAAATCGAGTGTACGCGCATATTTAACAATTAAAAAACAACGGTCTAAATTAATTAAAATAAGCCCCGATTACTCTTCACAATCTTGAAGTTGAATGTTTAAACTTCAATTTAGACACTTGGTAATCTCAAAAATAATAATTTACATATGTGTTTTCAAGCCTCAAAAATGAGTATTTTTGCGTTTTTAAGACTTTAAATCGCTTATAACTCGAAAACTATCAACTTTGGAGAAAAATGACAAGAAACCTTTTTTATTTAAAATAGCCCAAAAAATCTAAAAAAACGTTTTCCAGATTAAAAAAAATATTTTTGGAATTTGTTTAAAAAAAATTGTTTTAAACAATTTCTGCCCAAAAATTTCGCCCGGCATTCTTCAGATTTGTTTAAAGGGGATATTTTTGAACCGTAATCCGTGAAGAAACCGAATCAGAAACATTTTCCCAACGGGAGCGGCCTCACAGCCTGGACTAATCAGCTTTCTACAGACTATTTAGTTGTTTTGGCATAGCACAATCACAATACACAACAATAATTAGTTTTTAAACCTATTATTCTAAATTTAATATGTATTTTCAAATACAATTTAATAATATATAATATATTATAATCAAATTGTGTAAGAAATCAAAACGTAAATAAAATTCTTACTCTAAAAAAGCGGTAACACTTTAAACAATTTTGCCACACGCTGAACTGTCATTAAAATTTGAAGTATTCCCGTATCAGTTGCGTACAATTGTCTAATCAATTATTATTTTGTGAAATATTAGACTTACAGAGATGTTCATAAAATTTATATTATTAATAATAACAAATGTTTTTGGTTATTTAATCAATATAATTCTAAAATTCCCAATATAATGATGATTACATTTTTCTGATGACTATACCATGTTGACTCCTATGAAAGATCGAGCAGTTCCGTATGAGTTTCGTATTATTAGCTGTGTTAGGAAAATTCGTCACTTTATATAAATTGTGACGTGCAACGTTTTTACTTAAAAAAATGGTATATATTTTTAAATGTTAAGTGAACCCCTTAAAGCCCACTGGCAACTTTATTGGCCATTACTTTTAGAAAAACACAGAAGTTAAAACACTTCACAAATGTGTATTTAGGTATAAAACAAACAAGTTAAAACTTTTTAAAAAAGTGTCGTCACATTTAAAGTTCTGGCAGAACGTTTTCGATCACTACGGATCATCTTCAGTGCCTCGTATTTGTTGCTAACTATATAAATATGGTGTCTATAAGACTACCATGTTTGATTTGGTAAAGTGTCACATTTTACATTAGGTAATGTTGATACTGTAGGTCGATGACAATGGATGTATTTAAAATTTATTACTTTAGGGACTACATGTCTCCTAAGCTCGAGTACTTGCACGTTGTCAGTTGAAGCGACGACACAGGCCAAATTTGGTCTGTGTCGTCGCTTCAACTGACAACGTGCAAGTACTCGAGCTTAGGAGACATGTAGTCCCTAAAGTAATAAATTTTAAATACATCCATTGTCATCGACCTACAGTATCAACATTACCTAATGTAAAATGTGACACTTTACCAAATCAAACATGGTAGTCTTATAGACACCATATTTATATAGTTAGCAACAAATACGAGGCACTGAAGATGATCCGTAGTGATCGAAAACGTTCTGCCAGAACTTTAAATGTGACGACACTTTTTTAAAAAGTTTTAACTTGTTTGTTTTATACCTAAATACACATTTGTGAAGTGTTTTAACTTCTGTGTTTTTTTAAACGATGGTATACAGCCAATTACGGGGTTTTTTCCCATTAATTTTGCATTACTTTTAGAATTTGTAACACTCACAATTCAACGAATCGAACAGAAAACATGTGTGGAGGTGATTCTAATGACGACGACAAGACTATGAATTATGTAATGGAGAAATAATCTGGTCTATTTAAAACTTTTTGTATTAAAGTATAATTATAGCCATAGTTGGTTAGGTAAGCTGTACGTCAAAATTTTGCTGCTGCGAATTTTGTGGTAAAATATGTTTTAATGATGCCAAGCTTGCTGATTAAATTTTCTATCTACTTTATACATTAATCATACACCCGAACACGTAGAATTTGGTTAGAACTTTGAAAGATAAAGCTAGATAAATTTTAACTTAAAAAATTACTGCACATGGAGCAAGCAAATTAGTCCAATTTTAATTAACAAAAATATATTATTTAAAGTTTTATGATGGAAAGTGGTAAGTGGAGGTATATTACAAAAAACAAAAATAAATTAAACAGCTAAAAAATTCCGTGTTTTCGTGTGAAAAAAAAGGTTTTTTCTAACTTCCAGTAAAACTTGACATCTTATCAAACAATTTACATACAAAAGTTGTAGGTAGTATAAAAATTTACAACTTTTGTTATTAGTCCAGTCATCCGAGATTTGGCGTCTAAAAATTATACAAACCAGCTGAATATTGCTAAATGTTCATTTTGGACCCGAAAAAAGATGCAAAAACGTTTCCCCACTTGTACCCTCTGCTTCTCCCCAACACGTTCTTCGTACAGGGGCTTGAACAGAAAAAATAGATTTATCAAAAATCTGTACACCGTAAAAAAAGGTTTCACATAAAAAATAAACCTGTGATAATTTTAAACAAAAATGTTTATTAGAATTTTTGGGTAGAATAAACCGTTTTCTTAAAAAAGATGCTTGAAGCGACCGGTGATTTTAAATGACCGTTACGCGCGCGAAAACAATTTAAGATAAAATTTGTATCAACTCGAAGTAAAGATTCGATATCTTTTGATCAGTGTCCTATCGACAAAAATCAAAATACGTTTTAAAAGTGAAGAATGCAGCGTTCGCACACAATTTTTGTATTTTACAGCAAATGAAGTCAGTTTTTATAAAGGTGTTAAATAAATAAACTTTGCGCGATTTTTGCCATTTTCTTTCTTTTCAACTTTCATTGGCCGGTTGTAACAGTTTTATTTTGAACTTAATTGACTCAGCAATCGATATTTTGCAGTTCGATCCGCAGTTCAACCTTTCGCGGTCCGGATTCGAACCGCGGTCCGCCGGTTGCCGACCGTTGGTATAGGGTCTACCAACATGATACTATAACAAACAAGATATGCTCACTTGTCATTCTAATTTTAATCGAGTTTGCGCATGCCGTCATAGCGAGACAAAGTCAGGGGACTTGTGTGTATCATATTTTAACGATGCATCATATGACAACGTTGTTCCATTACTGTAATAAACAACTTCAAAACTTAAACTGTTAACGGTAAGTATACCTCGATGCCATATCTTGCACTTCTTCTTCTTTAAGTTCCATCTTCTATCGAAGGTTGGAAATCATCATGGCTATGCGGACTCTGTTGACTACTGCTCTAAAAAGTTCTGCACTACTGCATTCAAACCATTCCCTTAAGTTCTTAAGCCAGGATATTCTTCGTCTTCCCACATTTCGCTTTCCTCGGATTTTGCCCTGCATAATAAGTTGTAATAATGCGTATTTTTGCCCTCTCATCACATGTCCCAAGTACTCAAGTTTTCGTCTTTTAATAGTTAATATTATTTCCGCCTCATTTCCTATCCTTCTAGTTACTTCCATGTTTGACATTCTTTGAATCCATGATATTTGTAGGATTCTTCTGTAACACCAAAATTCAACTCAAACCAGCGGCCAGCTTATTCAGATGAACTTGTTTGAGTGTCCAAGCTTCCAGACCATAAATAAGAGTAGAGAACACGTAACATCGAAGCATTCTCAGGCGTAGTTCTAAGCTTATATCCCGACAACAAAGAAACTTTTTAAGTTTAATAAATGATGTACGTGCTATTTCAATACGTGTTTTAATTTCTTTGGTTTGGTCTACATCTGATGTTATCCATGTTCCTAAATATTTATAGTTCTTAACATTCTCAATTGCAGTATCTTCAATAGTCAATTGGATATTTGCATGTGCAGATTTAGTCATGATCATGCATTTAGTTTTCTTTAAATTTATCTTCAGTCCGTACTCATGACAGCGTTCATTAAGGCATTGCATTAGGTTCTGTAAATCATTGTTGTTATCCGTAATTATTATTGTATCGTCTGCAAAACGTAAGTTATTCAAAACTTCTCCATTGATAGATATACCTTCTATTGAGTCTGAGAGCGTTTCTTGAAATACCGCTTCACTGTAGACATTGAAAAGTAGTGGGGACAGCACGCAACCCTGGCGGACTCCTCTCTGTATTTTGATATTTTCGGTATACTGGCTGTCAACTCTTACCTTGGCAGTTTGATTCCAATATAAATTAGCATATCTTGCATTAAGGACGTCATAACTAGTTACTTTCTGTTAAAACGTGTTTTGAAAATTAATAAGTAATTTGTAAAATTAATTAAAGAAATATATGAATCTACAATTTTATTGTGTATTACAAACAAAATAAATATTGCTATAAAACATAAATTAAATATAAAAGGCCGGTAAAATGTAAAGAATTTGGCCATACAGAAAAAGCGGGTCATACTTGAGACTTTATGAATGTCATTTAGACATTTATTTTAAAATCTTTGTGATTTTTCCCTTGCGGATATTATAATTATCTTTAGTATTCATTTATCATTTACATATTTTTCAGCTTCTATTAAGTTTTTTAAATCATTTTTTGTAACTTTTTTAAAGACCTATCAAAAATACTTGCTAATGCTAAAAGCATTACTTTAAGTTATATTAAAATGATAATTAATATATATTAGTATCTATAGAAACATTTGCTCTGATGTTAAAGTGTGTCTACATCCAAAATACTTAATAAATACTAATAATACATAAACAAATTAGCTGATAATAACACAGTAAACTGAATGTTTTCACCGCAAAATTTATATAACAATATAATATACAAAGTCTTTACTAAATCAATTAATAAATAAAAATAGCATTCACTACGTTTTGAAATACACAGGATAGCAAACTCGATTAATACAGCAACCATAATTAACATGAACAATTATTAGCATTTAACTTGCCGTTGTCTCGGGATTACGTCACAGGTGTGCAAGAACATGCGTGTTGACTTATCTTGTTTTGTTATAGTATCATGGTCTACCAACACAGCGTGCTGTCTATTTTAATTACTTATTTTTTTTTTGTAAAAACATTTCTGTAAAATGTCTATATGTAAAATATTAGCGTGACTAAATATGCTCTTAATACATATCTTTTATTTACTACGTGACCCTACTCTGCACGCTACTGCTTTAATAACTTAAGAAATCTGAGAAAATCTGCTATTACCACCAAATTGACAGCTTTTTGTCGGTAACTGCTGCTAGCAATTTTTTCCACAAAAGAAAATACAAGCTCGTGCCAGCAGGATTTCTGCAATTGCTTTTTACGGACTTGGGGAGAAGGAAAAAGTTAATAAGAGAAAATAAATGTTTCTCAACGATACGTTTGTCTCGTTTACCAACGTGTAGATTAGGAATTTTTAGTAATGACCTGGAGGTATTTCAGAAAATGTTTTTTCTGTTCGGGATAATTAACTATATTCTGAGAATTTTATTAAAGTTTATTTTGTTGTACTTAGTATTTTGAAGAAAGGTGTGTTAGAGGTTATAAATGAGTCAGTGATGCTTACTGTTCAGGAATCTATATACCTTTATTTAAAATAATCATTTATAATAATTTTAATATTGAATTTCTTTGAAGTAGAATCAGTTTATTAGAGTTTATAAAAGAATGAATTTATTAATTTTATATTATTAAAACATTATAGTATTAATTATATAAACTGTACTATATTTAAACTTTGATCAAATAAAAGGCAGATATAGAGCACATCAAAAAAAGGTGCTTTGTCAATGCTTAGAATGTTTTTTATCTGATTCTCTTTTTAAGGTCTCAAATGTTCATGTTTTTTAAAGACTATAATAATTTTTAATTGTTTACTTACAAATAATTGATGCAGAATGTACCATTACCATTATATTGGCAATATGCGTAACTTATGCCACGCAGTATACATTGTAGAGTAGGAAAGGAATTTCAAATCATTTTCTTGTTAGAAATAATTGTTGATATAAATGGTTTATTAATGCATAAACATACACTTACATATTCAAACCTTAGTAAATCAATGCGTCCAAGACCCCGACCAAGGAGTAAATATCAATTAAACATTTCTAGCGAAAAAGCTGACAAAAGTTGATAATAAAAAACTTTTCATTCACAAAACTTAACGAATACCACGTTGCTCAAGTCAGGGAGCTTCATTAGGGTGGGACAGGATAGAGATGATAAAAAAATGCAGATCAAAAACAGATAGAGAAACTAAAGATAGTAAATAGATAACAAAATATAACAGTTCGATGAAGAAAAACAAGAAACACGGAATAAAGCTAAACTATAAAACAAAATGGGCGCCAATATGTTTTCACCTGAAACTTATAAAGGAATTCAAGATTAAATAAACTAAACAAACATTTTTCTCAAAAACATCAGAATAATACAAGTCAGAAAACATATCAGCAAACATATTTAACCACAATTTGTAAGATCTTCTACAAAAAAAGATTCAAATAATACTCTACTCTACTCAAAAATAAAATATTGCGTCACAATAAAAAATTATGTTTAATAAACTGTCTAACTTAAACAAACAGGAATTACAAAAAAAAATAAACAATAAACATTGTTTATTAACACTCAAAAATTTAATTAATAAATACTTATTAATAAAAAAACATAATGACACATATTGTCATCAAGAATCTTATACTTTAAAACGGATTGCAGACTTAAAATAATTTAAATACACTCAATACGGAAATAAAACTTTAATATCTTACAATAACAAAATTAAAAACCAAATGAATATTTAACTGCAATCTGAAGGAATATCATTGGCCATTTTATTCTAAAATTAACGTTAGCAAATTATAATGTTACATTTAGTAACATACTTAAAAAAACTAAAAATAAACTCTCTACAAACCACTTATAAAAGTTACTGTTCCTAACAGCAAAAAAATTATATTATTATTATAAAATACTGCACTTACATAATGGTTTGTTGACTTTTGAAGATAGAGCCATAGGTCAGAAGAAAAACAGATGTAGAATTCCAAAGAGAGAGATAGTCGGAATCTCTTATAGCCCTTCAGCAGAAATCAGATAGTATAAGATAATTATGTGAATACATAGCGGTAAAAGGTAAATTTTTAAATTTTAATGGCATATTTGATCT